TAAATGGGAATACTCAAATCTTGGTCAAAAAACGAATTTTCCATGAATCAAATGTTTTTTCGAATGGAGAATGGTTTCAAAAAATTGTAGAATTCATTACATGGTAATTAGATTTTAATTCAAATTTGTAGTCAGTCACAGATGAAAATCAAGCATAAAAACAGAATCGGTTTTGGAATTAAAAAAATGTAAAGTTTTAAACCCCGATCATGAACCGATATGGCATGTATCCAGTGTCAGTATAGCTATCTACAAGTACTCGTCGCAAGAGACTGTATTTCTAGTACGAGCCAATACTGTTGAACTGTATATGTGTGTATGTGCATGTAGCTGTTTAGCTGTTGTTGATCGACAGAGAGACTCGCAACACACCCCCGACGTCACATGTCTTCTGTGATCTCTTATATCATAAAATGTTTGTGTTTACTGTGAGTGAGTGAGTATGTTGCGAGTACATTCATTGAAATTTCGAAACAGATAATTGGACGCACATTCTGCCATTTCGACATTATTTATTGCTTGTGTCGTTTTCTCTTCTGTATCCATAACTCACGTATGCATACACACACAGAGAGTGAGACACGATTCAAGATTTAACACATCAAAATGCTTGTGTGTGAATAAGAGATACAATGTGCTCTGAGTGTTGTTGTTTCGGTCCGCCTATTTTTGCAAAAAAAAAAAGAAGAAAAGGAACATTTTATGATAGGCAGAGAGAACGAAAAAGAGAGAAACAATGAAAGACGATGACGATCACACGAAATTATCTCATTTTATTTTGTTTATTAAGAGCGACAAACATTATAGATTTTTGCCATGCCATTAAACTACACCGAAAACATGACATTAAATGCATGCCATTAAATTTTGTTAGCCGATGACAGCGACCAGCTGCTTAGATCCAACCAATTGAAATTTTCAATTGACGAACAAACCAAAAACGATTCCTTTTTCTCTTCAGTCTTCATTGACACAAAAATTGCAGAAAGAGCTTCTTCTTGAGCTGGCAGAAGTTCGCCTCGTTCTTGTGTTCATTTCGAATAACAATGTTCTTTGAGCGAATTTTCGTGAACCAACTCATTTATGATCATATCGAACACACTGCAATCGACATAATTGCTTTGCTCGACACATTCTATACCAACTAAACACATATCGATGCAATTCGATTTTTGATTTTGTTCCGCGCACTAAATAAACAATTTTTTATATGGTTTACAGTTTCCGTTCGGGCTCTTTTTTTTTCCTCTGTTCTAGTTGCTTGTGCTGCGCTGCGCTGTCGAAGCGAAAACGGGCGGTCGCACACACCAACGCTGGCAAATAATGATTTTGTACTGAACTGTGCATTCATTAGTTGTGTATCTGTCACCACCCTGTTTGCTGTTTGGTACGGTGCTGTTTGTTCTCGATTCGATTCGGTAAAATGATTCGCAAGCAAAACGTTTACCATGTGTGCTTCGATCGGTATCCCAAGCCAAATTCACATTTTTGCACATTTTATACAACATTTTCAGCGCAAGTCGACCTTTTGAGCAGGCGAAGGCATTTACACAATTAAAACATTGAGCGAGAGCGAGAGAGAGAGAAAGAGAGAAGTGGTTCAATTTTGAATGGAAATATCAAATTTAAAGCAATGCTCAAACGAATTGAGTCATTTATTCCAATTGCTCACTGATTCTACTTGAATTTTTTTCAACAGATTCGTTGCTTTTCTTTTCAACTATTTCTTTGCGAAATTCTTATCCTTTTCTTCTCTCTTTTTATTCTAGCTTCTTTTGATTTTCTTTCATTTTTTCTATTTCAATAATTTGTTTTCGATTTTTCTGTTGATTTCAACCCTAGTTCCTTCTGTAACTGTAATTTTCTTTTAACTATTAGCATTTCTAGCATAAGAGTCAAGTGTTCTTCATCCGATCCAATTGAAAAGCCTGATCGATGTCAGAGGAATGTTCTAAGGAATGTATGCCAAAAGAGCTGGAATCCTCTTTGGAAGAAAATGTGTTGGTTTTAATCAAAAAAAATTCATAGCTTTGCAAGAATTCGGCAATTTTTCTCCAGAAATCAGACAACTTTGTTCAACAAATGGAGTGGTTTTATGTAAAAACACAAGTATTGGTAGAACAATCAGGAGTTTTTATTGAAAAAATGAAAAATCTGTTTAAAAAAAGTCATAAAAAATCTCTTTTAAAACCAGTCATGATATTGCGATGACAAACTGTAATGTTCTGAGCATAAAAATCCGTCAAAATTGTGAATTTTTGAGTTGAACATCATTCGACTGCATGCAGTTTTCACGTGTATGTGAAGTTTGTCGCAACGAAGAAGAGGCCAAAGACAGGGAAGTATATAAAATTCGTCACCATAATTCAGACAATATGCACTGTGCGCGTTTAATGATATTTCCTTTTTTCGCTTTTAAATGATACGGACCACATAACCATTACATGCACCGGGAGCGAGAGCACAAACATCATGACACAAACGAAGTCGCTGCGTTAATTCCGTTTTTATTTTCAGTCAACAAAATCCATTTACGATCGTGCGCGTTTGTTTTTTTTTTTGCTTCGGCTTGTAATTTATGCTAGCGACACATTTGCCTCTGAAAGAGAGAGAGAGCGAGAGACTTTAATCATTTCAAGTTGCAAAATGTGCAGCAGGAGGCAGATGTGCAGTGTAGCAATGCAGACAAATAAACGAAGGAAGGAGAAAGAAAAAAAAACGTGGCTGAACGAGATATTGAAATGCGAAAAAAACGATACTATTTTCAAATTCGTTGCACTTGAACCACAATTCAACATTCGAATGCGATCGAAAATAGACATGAGAAAACCTAATTTCAGACTGTCGTATTTAAAAATACAACGCGATTTCAAATGATGTTTGAGTGCGCATATGACAAAAGGGATTAGATCAGCTGGCTGCTTCGTAAAGCCACCGCACTTATTCATTTCGATCCGTGGCGACCGCCCAGTTTCTGAGGCAGCAATGGTGTTGATTTTGTTGTGATGAACGAATCAGCGAATTCGTACTAGTGTTTTAAAGTATTTTGCAGTCGAAAATGGGAAAAACGGTAAAATATCAGAACTATTGAAATTAAAAGCGTTTCAAGGTCTCAATTACATGTCAATTTCAATATTGAGTTTTCATCACATTTTCCGCGCTGAATTAAAAATGAAACGGAAGTCGATTTGGATTTTTTTTTTAATTTTCTTTTTTCATTCATTTTAAAAGGATCACCTGCCTGCCTCCTGTTATTGTCACCTACCCTACAAGAATTTTGCGACAAGTTTACGCAAACGTATCGCCAACCTTCCGCAATAGTTGTCACAAAATGCATGAACTGCGATCAACTTCATTCGAATTCAGCATGTTGTATTTTTAAAGGCTGCAATGGCTGATTATTCTACTTAATAATTATTTTGAATAAGTTTTTATTTCTTATTAGCAACGATGAGCAACATGAAAAGTTTAAATAAAACCATTTGGAATTATTTTTTCAATGTAATGAAGTTGGATACAATTCGAATTTACAGGTTTACGCAATGCGATACGTCGCAGATATGTCGGCGTTATGATTTTGCGTAAATCCGTACATTGAAAAACCTATCGCAATGCGGAATGTCGCGGGAAGGTTTTGCTTTACGGCGACATGTCGACGTAAACCTCAATGTATCGCAAAATTCTTGTAGGGCTAGGACTTCCTTATAAAAACACGAAATTCAACTTTTGCCTATTCGGTCATCGTCGACTCGTCAAATATAAAATTCTACTGAATTCAATTTCCTACCAAGAAAGTTTGCTGTTGAATCGAATTTCTTTTCAAAATGATGGTTTTGATCGATTTGAGAGTTCTCACACCATAAGCACAGCTCTTCACTTGAGCCTTTGTCGGGAATATTTTTAAATATTAAAATCATAATATTTTTATATTCAATTCAAATCCACCATCGCCATTTCTTCCTGCAATTCCAGTATGAATAAGCGAATTTGGTGCATTGACTCAATGAACTGCGAACATTTATCCCACAAAAACAATCTGTTTCTGATCATTTAGCAATATTGATAACGTAAAAATACTTACTTTTTTGGCAGAAAGTACTTACCTATTGTCGACGGTACAATTTACCGCTTCATCGACCATCTTCGAAGTCTATCCGCTCCTATGCTCTCTCAAAAATCCACTACTTCGTTTTGTTCAAGTGTGAGTTCGTTCAGTGAGTAGTAAAAGTGCTTCCGAATTTGGAACTACTTGAAAAGTTTCTTTCAATTTTACCGTGCATTTTCCGTCTCAAGCGATGAGAAGATACCCAATTAAAGCGCAACCGAATCAGCAGCGAGTCAAGAGTAAGTTATTAGCTGCCGATATGATATTTTGTAACAAAATGAGAGGAGAAATTCGTCACAAACCGAATGAAGATCGAGTGAGTGAGCGAGAGGGAGGGAGAGAGTCATATTGGTAAGGTTCATAAAATTTAATTTCGATGTGCTTATGAAGAATCGAGAGATCGATGTGGAGAACAAGAGGACACAAAAGAAATTGGCCGAGAAAGATGCGTTGTAGCTATGGTTTGATTAGGTTTTCGTTTTTCGTCGAACGGAGCAGCAGTGTCAGTCGAGCGTTGTTTCGGTTTCAAATTACCGACGCATACACAAACACAGAGAGAGAGAGAGAAAGCCAAAAGAGTGTTCTGAGTCAAATGGCATAGTCGAATCAAGCGAGATCCAGCCAAAAATGCCACTGACAACCACAAATCACTGCCAGAACGAAAGGGAAAACTGTGGAAGGAGGAAGATGGAAGCGAGAGTGTAAGAGAGAAAAGGAGAGAAAGAGAAAAAGAGAGAGAGCGAGAGGAAAACAGAGAAAAAATAAATAAAAGGAAGGAAAAGAGAAAGAAAAAGACCAACTCTTGCTAAAGACCAAACGAAGAAAGAGAAAAACGGCCGCAGAAGACCGCTGAAGAATGGAGATGAGAAAAAAAAACAAATCGTTGTTTCTGTCATTCTTTCAATTTCATTTAATTTATATACAAAAATAAAGCATACATTTTCCATACTCTCTATTCAATATATGTTGTACAAGCTAAAATAATTCTAAAAATTGTGGAATCATAGTTGCGGTTGTGTTCATTTCAAACCGTATATCATTGTAATGATTAAACGAATTAGTGTTTTCTTCTCTCTTTTTTTTTTTCGTTCGGAGCAAAAAGAAAAAGACAGTCGAAACGAAATAATTTGTGTGTTGTTTGTTTTGTGTTGGTGATTCTATCGAGGCGGGAGAGTGAGTGCGATTGAGAGACGGAATGATGATGTGTTTGAATGCGCGCGCAATTTTCGATAGAGAGAGAGAGATAGAGAGATCGCTTAATCTGATCCAACCAGTGGAAGTTAGAGTGTGTGTGTGAGGAGAGATAAATCATTCGCTTTGCAACGCATCGCAACCCATCGAAACTCCATATAATTCACATTATTTTCAATCTAAATTATGCTCTTAATCTAGAATGAAAATTTAAACGCGCACTTGAATTCTAGCTTCCTCAACAGCAACAACAACAATAACTACATTTAAATGATTCAAATATGGATCTGGATTTATTCACATATTGTCATCCGCTTAATGCCTTCTAAATATTCTTTTTTTTTTCCTTCTTCCATCGTTTCGTTTAATACTGTGTAATTGAGCTCGTGGTTTTTTTTTTTTGAGAAATATTCGCTTTATTTTCGATATTACCTCTTGGGAAATGTTCTAAAAGAGATAATTCGTTACCGTTATTGTGCAAAAGTTGCGAATTGATTTATGTTTTCGTGGTATTTAATTCGCCTTCCATGCGCCAAACGCTGAAACATCGGCTCAATTCCTCTTGCGATGGCCATGCCGTCGATTCATTTTCCATGGACTTTAAAAATGTTATTTCGTTGGTAGATATCACTTCATACAGGAAATCAATGTAACTGAAAACAAAATGAAAGGAAAAAAAGAACAAAGACAATGATTAATTTTCGTTTGTTTGTTGAATACGTCAACGAGGCGAATAGCAGAGATTATACTGTGCATCCTTTTTGATCTCTTTGATGTGTTTCTAATTCAATTCAGTGAAAAAAAAATTGCAAGCAATCGTGCGCATCTTCATTTTTGACGTGGAAACGGTGCTCGCTCGCGCGTCGTTCCATAAACGTTAAAATTAACGACAAAGCAAAGAAAACCTACGAACTGGCCATAAAATGGAATGAGTTCTCAGTATTCGCCATCACACTGAGTGACACTTCAAAAGAGCGAGACACACACGCACGCACACAGAGAGAGAGAGAGAGGGAGGGAGAGAGAGAGGGAGGGAGAGAGAGAGAGACAGATAGAGAAGGAGAGAGTGGAGTAAAGAGAGAGAGAGAAAAAAAGAAGAAAAATCGACATACAATCCAGTAAAAGAGACGCGGTTCCGGTTCATGGAAAATTGGCGGAAAAAGGCAACAACAACTGAAAAAAAAAATCTCCGTTCAAACAAAGCCATTCATTTCGGATGCATATCGTCTAACAATGTATTTAAGCGCATTTTTTTATCGTTTCTCTTCTCTAATGTCTGAATGAAATTCTGTCGCGACGCGTTTGCGGCAACTAGATTTGCATTCATTGGCCGTCAATCTGCGCGATCTTGGTCCGTACAACAATCAAAATGGCTCTTGATGTATTCGCCACAGCAAGCGTTTGTGTAGCGAACGCAAATTCTTTGGCATTTTATTCCACCCGAAAAATGAAAGGCGCCCATTATTCACAACCATTTGAGCATTTAATTTCGTTTCATTTCTGATTGTGCACTGCGCTTTTTATATATTTCATTTCGGTTTGTTTTATTCCTGTTTATTTTTTTTCTTCGTGCGGTTGTCTGTGTGCATAAGCGCTTCCAACACAGAAATACCCGTCAAGAACATGTCTTGGCCAGTGTCTCGAGTGCAATATCACGAGCTATGTACACGCACACCAATCCCATTGCAAACTCTAATTGAAATTGAAATCATTCATTAAATTATTTAATTGGGTTAAATGCAGCAGCGCCTACAAATAGGCGAATTCATTGCGAGCATGGAACACAAATGAGAAAAAAAAAATGCACACACAATGCACAATTCAAACGTTTACGTTCGACCGATCGAATTTTCGATAAGAATGACTCTGATTTAACCACTCAGATGCAAGTGTCAGTTAAGGAAACTCTCTGCGCAAAATCAATTGACATTCCAGATCTCGCTGATTTTTTAACTGATACTCACGTATTGCTATTTTGTACACGGGATTATTTCATCGGTACTGGGAATATCTCACAGACCGCGGATTTCGATTCAATTCCGCTAGTTTTGATGGAATTTTCAATTGTTTATGGTTTCATTTTTTTTTCAATTTTTCATGTAAATCATTGTTATGACTTATTTTTTAACAAACTTAACCAAAAGGAATCTTCTAGGACCGTTTTAGAATCCAAATTGGATCATTGTATACATCAAAGTGACCCAGTTTTACCTTAATTCTGACTATTTTTATTGAATCGTGGCAAATTTTACCGACCCAAAATGTAATCGATCCAAGTTTTCTGGTTAACTTGCCGTAATTTTTGATGATTTTGACAATTTTTCGTGTTTTGTTTAGAGCATTTTCAGTGCATTTGACAACTTTGTTATTCAAAGTACATAAAAAGTTTGTATGGCGCTATTCGATTGATTTTTGCAGTATTTAACCATTGAGCATGCAAACATTAACATTTTGATTGCTTTCAATGTCTTTCTTCTTTTGTTATCGACTTTTTTTTCCATTTTGATACCTTTTTGCAAATTCTTATTTGTGATTCCTCATGCTTGTTTTGTCTTTCTATTTTGTCTTAATTACTCAAAAACCAATTTAAGTAAATAAAAATTTGTCACACGAAAAAAATTCGTCGTTTAGAGAAGAAAAAACACTTTTGCCATGATGCATTGGCCGTTCAACAACTTGAAAATGAAATGAAACACTCGAAAAAAAATGGATTTTAAAGCGAGACGAAAACGCATAAATTCGACAAGATCGCTGTCTGCTTTCTAAGCTGGTTGATGCTCAACACTTTTTCTAATATATCCTTTTGGTGTATTTCTCTTTTCTTCTGCCAAGTTATGTACGATATCTCTTTCTCTTTTTCCCCTCCTTCTCTATCTCCTTCTTTCTCTCTCTTTTTTTCTCTCTTCTCTCATTTTATTTCTCTCGTTCTCTCTCAAGAAAAGAGTCAAAGTGGTTTTCTCGTTGGACGAGAAATGGTTTATTTGTGGGCTGTGAATAATGTGTTAGGCGCACATTTTCTTCTTCGACAGATGAATCATAATTAGTGTGTTGGAAATACTGAGACTGCATCATGCCTCATGATCATTCTTATGACACAACACACCATTTTCACTCTAATTTTATTTATGGCCATGCTACGTTATACGTTCACTATTTAAGAAAAAATGTCTTGTCGTGTCTGTCTCGCGAGACTATCATAAATATAATTTAACCAGAAAAAAATGAAACATCTCCATATTTTTTGGAAAGAAACGAAAAAAAACAACAACAACATCGGAAAACACTTAAAAAAAATACTAACGAAAATGCTACTGTTGCGCATGTAGAAACAAAAGTGCAAACTGCAACCATGGATTTTTCCATTTCACTCACACAAAAACGGAGAGAAAGTAGAGATGCGGAAAGGGTGTTGAATGAATTATGATTAGCTTAAGTGCTTAGATGGTTTTTTTTTTCGTTCGGTTGCGCTGTTCAAATCGACTAAATCGCTTTAGATTTTGTGTTTCGAACGGTTTGTTGTACAAATTTTTGTATGTATCTAAAAATGAGATTTTTTTTTTGAAATCTCGAGTAAAGGCGTAAAAGTGTTTCTTCATTTCCATTGAGTGTGTCTAGGGAGAAAAAAAAAACGAATGTCAAGTGGCTGATAATGGGGTGTCTGATATTATTGGCCATAACTTACAGGAAAAAATCAACATTTTCGCCCGTTGAAACACTTTACTTTCGTGTTCATTCGAGAAAAGTAGCAAATTTTATCGGTACACGTGGGACAGTAAATTTGAACTGAGCCGAAAATTGAAGTAGAATTCGTCAAAATATGAGGCAGAACACTTTGACTTCTGCCAAAAATTGAGAACAACCACTTTGAAAAATTAAATCAAATCACTTCAAGTTAAGCAAAAAAAAAAAGACTGAGAGTCTCAATCTGAGACAAACCAGAGAGTGTCAAGTCCATTATGTTTTTTTTTTTCAACCTCTGAATTCAATTAAAATGAGAACAAAGCACTGAGCAAATTTCGATTATTTTCAACAGAGCTTCAAATCAGCAAATTTTATTCATTTCCAAGAGGGAACTGATTCATGCCCAAAACAGTCGATTTTAAGCGAAACAAAATCATTGCGATTCCAAGCTAAAAAAGGCACATATTTCAACCGAAAATTCAACTCAGTCTCATTCAATGGAGCAATTCATACCGTACGCTTCATTGCAACTGCAGCAAGAGCATTCCTTTATGCATAAACGACCATTTATGGCCAAAACAGCCCATTTATAGCTGAAATTTACCATTTCTGATGGAAAAAAGCCTTTAAGGTTTGAAAATTCGTCGAAAAAGGAGCAAACATCACAAGATACAACACAAGAACCGAAAAAAACCATTCACATCCATTCAAAATGTCCCAAAAAGACAAAAAAAAACGGTCATTCGATGCAAATTTCATTCATAAAATCGGATTGGCTATGGGAAAAACCGGCATTTTACAGTGAGAATTTACATAGACGCCAACCATTAAAAATTGTCACAAAAAAAAATCCCATGAACAACAACAACAGCGAGAGCAGTAAACGATGGCAAACACGGCACCAGAGTAGTAACAAAAAGGCAAACATCAATATTCATGAAATAAATAGCCGTGAAAATCCAGCAGCCATAAAATGATGTATGAGCTAAAGAAAATACAAAACAGTTCGGAAACATCAAGGAAAGAGAACGAGAGTGCATAATGATTGTTGGTTTTTGTGGGGTGGAAGAGAGCGTTTTGGCGTGTGTCAAAGCCATAATCCATCGGCTTATGGGTTTTTTTTCTACCTCTCTTCTCTTTTTTTAACATGATTGTTTGTAATTTCTTACCTGGATGCCAATTTAAGTGTTTGGATTTTGCTGAGCTTATCACTTGGTAGTGTTGGAATGATTTTTCTCAATGATGCAAATGCCTCATTCAAACTTTGGGTTCGTTGCCGTTCGCGTACATTGGCCATAACACGTTGTGACTGAAGATCATCGAATGTTGTCTCTTTGATTTGCTTCTTACGGTTGCGCACTTTGTACTTGCGAATTTTCCCAATCGAGTTGTTCGTCGATTCGACAGCAGTGGCGGTGGCGATCATTGTTGTCGTCGGTGCATTGTTGTTGTTGTTGTTGATCGGTGTGCTTTGTACGAATGATTCATTTTCTTTGGGAATTTTTGCCGTTGGCATTTGATTGTCAACGTGTTTCAATTTGGATCGGTTATTTTTCCGTTTTTTCGTGTTACCGCTCTTGGTTTTGCCATCAAATTGATTGTTCACCTCGAGATTGTTGTTATTGTTATTCAATAGATTGATTTGACCGGTTTGCGGCATAACATTTAGCTCGGAAAATGGATTTGTACTGGAATTTGTGCGATTGCTATGTAAATGCATGTCCATTTGAGTGTTACAATTCGGCGACAAATGATGTGAAATCGTTGTCATTGCGATTTGATGTTGTTGTTGCTGCTGCTGCTGTTGCTGCTGCTGGTGGTGGTGCTGGTGGTGGTGTTGATGATGATCATGATGTCCATTGGTGTTGACAGTGCTGTAATACAGATTTTGATTGGTTTGAGCTACGCCCATGGAATAATCATCTGTGGCTGATGTATACATTATGGTGTTGTTGTTCCCATTGAGAGCGGCCAATTCGGCCGGAGATTCGGACATATAGTAAATATCATACTCTTTGGCTTTTGGCTTCGATACCGTTGACACCTCGATTAGAGTTCGCGATGGATGAATCGACAACTGCGAATCAAAGTTACACAATCCATTTGGAATGGGCGCGGCGATTATCGATTGCGTTTCGTCCGATTGGGAATCGGTTGGTGTTACCACACTTCGGCCACAGCTTGATGCTGGCGATCGATAATTCACATCGTAGTCCGGCTGCTCCACTTTTATCGTTTGCAACGCACCAAAGTCACTCAAACCATTCGTATAGTTGGGCGCATTCAATTTTAACAAGAGATGCTCTTTGGCAAAATGAGACTGTTGCAATAGGGCCGATTGATGCGGCAATGCCTGTTGATGGTGGTGGTGATGATGATGGTGATTGATCGCTTGCAGATTTCCATGACTTTGATACAGATTGTGCGCATGAAACGAATGATTGGCTATTTCACTGTGACCTGTGGAATGAAATTGAAATTGGAATTAGAACGGTTTATTGGCGGAAAGAAATCGTTTTTTTTTTTTATTTAGAATTTGGTTTTGTAAAATAAGGACGAATATAATACAAAATTATTGCATTAAATAATGAAGGCATGAACATGTCCTACGAAAATAATCGACAACCGAACCTTGTTATGGCTATTGAGATTTCGAAGTATAATTTAAGACAACTCTTGAGCGAATTTCATTTTGTAAATGGCTAAATTCATGCAGTTTATCAATTCAAATCGAAACTAGACAGCGCATGCTTCGAATTTAGTTTCATCAATTACAATCCTCGTGTTGTGTCAAGCAGGAGTTCAATCGATTGCACGGAAAAGCTACATTTTTATTAAAAATGGAACTTTCATAGATTAAAAATATTCATTTTCACATTTGAATCCTTTTCTCGTTAACAACAATTTGATTTGGGCCCAAATTAAATGGAAGATTGGGAGAAATATGATCATACATTGTCTATTCCATTTGTAAAAGTATCTACGTTTGATTTCGGCAATAAGAGTTATTTTTTTATTGTTCTGTGTTTAACCAAATCATTTGTGGTGTGATACTCTCGGTACAAATGATACTGTTCCCAACATAGTGCCAATGTTTCAATTAACCAAGTCCAAATAACGCAACAAACCCAATCCAACGAACATGGTATGATTATTATGGCGATTGCGTCATAATTTTTTCAATTTGGATAAAGCCCTATCTCAAACTAATAGGAAGACTGCACCAAAATTGGGAATCATTTTAGATTTTATTCCAAGTATCTATCATCGGGAGTGTCGGTGAATCAAAGCATTATTTGTAAAAAATAAAAATAAGTTTTTTTTTTTCAAAATGATCAAATCCTTCAAATGAATTCAGAACTGTTTGTCAAGTCTCATTTTATCAATTTTACTCATGCGGCGGTAATCGGTAAAATTGAATCGGAATGCATACAGATATTCGACAACTTCGATATACTACTATTGTAAGAAAAATGCAAATTAGTAAAAAACGTAAATTTAAACTGTTTTTCATTAATGCGTCCATCGTCTATTGACGGCACTATCGATTGATAACTTGATCATATAAATGATATCATTGATCACTTCCATGTGCTATCAAGGCGAATGGTGATTTGTAATATGAACTCGTGGAAAATGTCGAAGTGGCTTCAAATTAATTTGCGATTATATCTCTTTTTGCTGATTTAATCATTCTTTGTTAATTCTGTTTTCATCAATAAATTCATCGAAAATGATATACTTTTCCCATTCATTTTTGAAGGCGATGATTGATCATGAAAGAGGGACATTTGGATGTGTTAACGCAAAAGGGGAAAGTTATTTCAAATTTTCCTATGAAAATCTCTCTAAAAATGTCCGTTTTTTGGGGTTTGAATCAAATTTTTATGACGAATAAATTGTTTTAAAAAGCCTCAAACTATTGTTTGCACAAATTCACATTAACTTAAAATCTAAGCAATGAACTAATTAATAAATTGAATGGTAATTGACGGAAATGTTGTAAAATTTGAAAATTCATAAATTTGGATACTCATATGAAGGAAGCGTGATTGGAAAATCGAAGTTTTCTCCAAAATATTGACAGATTTGAATAAAAAGTAATCATTTCAACTACAATATTGCTTCCAAGAGTCATTAACACAAGAAAAATTGATGGATATTCCCATGTTCTGGAACTCTGGACGAAAGTTAATTTTTTTCAAAATGAAAGATTACACGGAGTGAGGAAGAAATCAATTTAAATCTGTCAAATTATAACACTCTTTTATATACGATCTTTTGGGCAATCAGTCGTTATTTTACAAGTACTTAATTGATTTGTTAACCGGAGATATGAATGTGTGATCGCAAAAGAGCAGGTTCGAAATATTTTGAAGTGGAAAATCTCCATATAAAAGTGTGTTTTATATGTTTTCCACTTCAAAATATATCGAATCCAAGTTGCTCTGTTGTGCTCATGCATTCATATATACTAGGACTAATGAATTAAATCATCGATACTCTTGTGCAAAAATTAAATATTTTATAAATTTTGGAACATTTTGATTGGACTTTTGTACGTACTGTGATTGGAGTTTAAATAAATTTCAATCAACTTTGAACAAATTCAGCCAAATTGGCCGGTTAGGTCATCCGAATTTATCAACTATGAGTGTCTAATGAATGAAAATGTACGTACAAATATAGTCAAAATGTCCCTTAGTCATGAATTGTACGGAGAAAAATGATCAACTGACTAAAATCTAGACATATTCGAAACATTTGCACGAGGGCAATGAATAATCAGTTTTTCAACAAAATGAAAATGAGTTTCTGAGTAAACAAGAAATGCAATGGTTCAATCAAATTGTACAAATATAGGGTTTATTCAGCAATGCTCGTGTGACAAAGCGACAAGAATGTGTTTATAAAAACTTGCCTTTCTCATTATTATTTTTTTTTTTCATGAAGTTCCATGCGTTGTCCTTTTATTAATAAAAAATGAGTCATAGAAGAAAAATTCAGATCGGGCAAATCTGAAAGAGTGTTGAAATGCCAGACATGGGAAAGTTTCTTAGAAAAACAAAAAACTATGCGAAAGCTGCTACAGACTGAAACCAATACAAATGGGTGTCTAAATACAGATTCCCCCTTTTAAAGTGATCAAAAGTGTAAGCTTTGGTACTTCTTTAATTCATTGCGTTGTTATTTCGTTAAAAGAGTCCTTTTATGCGTCGGTAAATTCTTTTGACCCATGACAATTGTTGCTAAACATTCTTGATTTGAATTTCAAACTTTGAAACGTTCGCAATGCGCATTTCTCAAAACCGACTTGAATCAAGTCAACAGGAAGTAATAAATCGTATTTACCTAGAATATTTACGCCGTTCGCGGCAATATTGTGATTACTTATATCCAAAATCAATTTTGGTGAACAGGCTCGAGCTATTGTTGTGGTTGACATAATGAATTTGTTTTCTTTCAATTTCACTGCACTTTCCGTTTTTTTCTTTGTTTCACTTCCACAAGCAACAATTTTCTTCTTAAAACTCTTTTCACTCTGATGAATCTCGCTGTTTTTCACTGTATCAAGTTAGTCAAAATGTATTTTACCCGGAAGGATATTTGGTATCACACAGATCACATGAAATAAAATCGCACGAACGAAAAACTTAATTCTCTTCGAAGAATAACTTTTTGTCAAGGAAGATAGGCCGATTGGTGTACAACAGAAAGGAAGATTGGGCCAATGAATTGTGGGCCAGTTCATAGATTTAGAATTGGATGAGATGAATGAAAAATAAAAACTACGCACAAATTAGCATTTCGCAGGAGGCTGCGACGGACGAGCTTCACTCTCGATCAGATCCACGAAAATACTGAGCAGCTAGTCGAGCAAATACGGATGCATAACATGCCGAATATGTTATTGTTGTGTATGACGATGCGATCTTCGACTGAGTCTATGTTCACTTCACTCATCAATTGACTATATGGAAATATATATACACGATCATCATGCCGCTCAGCCGAATACTCTCTGTGAGGAAATCTGTTTCGTTTTCTTTTTTCCTCTCTCTCTCTCTCTCTCTCTTCTTACTTCGCTACTGTGTGTGCTTTATGGTTTCTGTGCCTTTTGCATCGGCTTGTCGCCGAATGCTCTTTTTTACGTTTTTCTCTCTCTCCATTTGTATAGTATTTCGAAGCATTTCGGTCGTTCGGTATTTTTAAAAATATCTCTCTCTCTTCTCTCTCGCCTTTTCCTTTATTCATAAAAACAATAACGGTTTTCGCATCTTCCTTTTCTTATTTTTCCATGTTGTTTTTTTTTGCCTTCGGTTTTGCGTCTCTCTTCCTTGTTATTCTGCATCTTTGTCGTCGTTCGCCTGGTGCGTGCGTGTGTGCGTGCGTTTTTCATTCTTTGTTTTTGGTGTGCATCATTTTCATTTCATTTTACCTCCTTTTTCAGTGCAACTCCAGACGACACACACGATTTTTCATTCAATCCCGACGAATTTGTACAAAAAAGACACGATCGCGATGCCATGGCTTGTGTGTATGTGATGGTGTCGTCACTGGAATCCTCAAAGGCAAACGAAACACCAATACAAATACTTCGATCTTACTAACCTGACAACCATTTGTACCACGGCTTTTTTTTAATTACAGAAAGACTGAGACAACTTTTTTTTGTGCAAAGGAAAATCCCAACTGGATTCGAGTAATAAAATTGTAAATACACAGTGTGGATAAACATTGGATCCATCTAATCGTTGAAAATGATCAGTGGGAGTATTGGAAATAGTCTATTTCTATTTGAAATGGTGAAAATTGGACCATTTTCAATCATATTTCCGCTAAACAATTGGGATATAGAGCATTTGATTTGATCTCATTGTTTTTCCTCTCCATTGGATACAGTGCTCATGATTAATTGGTTTTCATATCATTTTCGAATGACACACACAATATTTTGATTTTTATTTTCATTTTGACCTCATTTTCTTCATTGGACAAGAGCAAATTAGTTCCAAGTTCAATCTTCCTTTTTCCATCCCTGTTTTTATTTATCTCTTCGACTTTCTTTCTCTATCTCTCTATCCCACCCACTCTTTCTCTCTCCTTCTCTCCTTTTCTCTCTTACACTCTCGCTTCCATCTTCTTCCTTCTATAGTTTTCCCTTTCGTTCTGGCAGTGATTTGTGGTTGTCAGTGGCATTTTTGGCTGGATCTCGCTTGATTCGACTATGCCATTTGACTCAGAACACTCTTTTGGCTCTCTCTCTCTGTGTGTGTGTTTGTGTATGCGTCGGTAATTTGAAACCGAAACAACGCTCGACTGACACTGCTGCTCGGTTCGACGAAAAACGAAAACCTAATCAAACCATAGCTACAACGCATCTTTCTCGGCCAATTTCTTTTGTGTCCTCTTGTTCTTCACATCGATCTCTCGATTCTTCATAAGCACATCGAAATTAAATTTTATGAACCTTACCAATATGCCTATCCCTCTCTCTCGCTCACTCACTCGCTCTTCACTCGGTTTGTGACGAATTTCTTCACTCATTTTGTTACAAAATATCATATCGGCAGCTAATAACTTACTCTTGACTCGCTGCCGTTTCGGTTGCACTTTAATTGGGTATCTTCTCATCGCTTGAGACGGAAAATGCACGGTAAAATTGAAAGAAACTTTTCAAGTAGTTCCAAATTCGGAAGCACTTTTACTACTCACTGAACGAACTCACACTTGAACAAAACAAAGTAGTGAATTTTTGAGAGAGCAAATGAGCCGAAAGACTTCAAAGATGGTCGATGAAGCGTTAAATTGTACCGTCGACAATAGGTAAGTATTTTCTGGCAAAAAAGTAAGTATTTATACGACATCAATTGCTAAAGTTTAACATTTAATCCAGTCAATGCACTAAATTCGCACATCCGTTTTGGAGATATTGAAAACTTGAAAATAAGTGAAAAGATGAACTCTGGTCAACTTCGGCCATTTTTTGCCAAGAAAATCTAATTTTATAGGAAACGAGTAACCTTATCAATTTTTGTCGATTTTTGTTCATCGACAAGTTTCTACACAAATCGTCCTCAATCCAAAATTCGACGGTGAAATCTCTTAATTCGAGAATTTCCAATGTTCGAGACATTGGAGAGTTCAATTTGTTTTGCTCGAATCCAAAAATTCTATTTCGAATTCGAAATGCATGTAAGTCAAACATTGAATTTCGTGTGGTTCATATTATATTTCGAAGGTCATAGGCGCAGCAGTTGTGCATGTATCGTTTACGAGCAGCTGATGCTGATTAGTCGAGATGAGCGAGAGGAAGTGATAGGCGAGGGAAGTGCCTACATTAGAGTCAATTAAGAGTCATGATTATGTCGTCGCCGTAGATTTTTCGCAGCTTTTTTTCCACAGCTTTCATGTCGATTCGTCTCGATGCAACGGCAGAGACGAGAGAAAGAGAAAAATCCCGTGGTCTGTGAATGCGAACGACATGAAACGTCGCTTAAAATCATTTATCATTTTTCTTCATCGCATTCATCCCCGTGTATCCTTCGATCGTGCTCAATTCGATGGTAGTTTGCATGGTGTGCTGTGTTCTACACTGTGCGCTTGCTGTGCGTTCCACGCTATTTTACAGCAGAAGAAAATTGTGGCCGTCATCGATTCGAAATCGCGGTGGTATTGAAATGAACGGCATTTGCGAATGATTGAAATACGATGATGAAAATCGATGGAATCATCATATCCGAATGCAATCGACTAGCGCGGGCCCGGTAATAAAAGACAAGGAAGAGAATGAGCGACAAAGAAAAAAAAGGCAACACGAACACAACGGAAAACCGTAGAGAAGAATTGCTTTTCTTGAAGATCATAAATCTAAAAATATTGCATGCTGGTGTGTGTGATTCTGAAAAATGCCGTTAAACTGATCATAAATACTTATTAAAACTATAGACGGTGCGACCATGATAATTACTAGCTGCAAGTAAATCATACACACCATATCGTCTTGTTTGTTGGTTTTGTTCGTTGCACATGCGCTGGCTGCTCGGCTCGACTCAGCTCGCTCGCTCGCTCCTTCCGTGCGCGCGCGCTCACCATTTTTTATGGCAAATTGTGCAAAATTAAGACCGTTACAATCGGTTGCCCCGTTGCCGTCACACCAACTCTCTGCACCACCGTTCGCTGTCTGTGACTGTGTGTATGTGTGTGTGTGTGCGCGCGCGTTTTTATGCAAATTTAATTTAAATGATTCAAAAATAGCATATTGCATTTCCAATTTTATTACTTATTTATGTAATAACTTCGTTAAAAGTGCGAACATGATTTTCGGGCGATTTTGCGCGCATCATTCAGTTTGATTGGAAATTGCATCGCATCACTCCTTCGGCGCATATTTTCAAATCAATAAAAAACAACGAAATCACACACTCAACGATCAATTTTCTCTGAACAATAAATATCGCGAATTTTCGCATACATATATCCATTCACTCAAGACGTTTAAATCGCTAAATTAACCAACAAATACGGAATTAGCGTGAATGTTTTCATTCTATTTAGCCAATGATAAGCAGCGCGGTTATTTATCAAAAATTAACTTAAATCGCTGTTCATACGCTAACCAAAATCACGACAATTAGCACATTTCTTTTCGATCGTCCTTATGATGGATATGAGGTGGCCATAGGCAAATTTGGCATGTATCACAAAATGTGTTTTGCAAGCCAAAAATTGCGAAAATTAAATGTGGATTGCTTGGATTCGCATTCGTTAACTATCTATTTTGTTTTTCATTGCTAAATGGATTGGATCGCCAGAAATTTGACACCTTTGTAAGTTGAAATTTGAAGCTTTTTCTCATCAAGTAAAAAGCGAATAGAATAAGGAAAGAAAGATGCATCTCTTCAATAGAATAGAACGAAAAATACGAAGACTTTTATCCTTTTTTCTGTTTACTTTTCAAGTTCATAACATTTTAAAACACTTTCGTCTTTTTCTCGTCTCGAGTAATAATTCGTCACAGTTAAGTCTGTAAATAGCGGGGAATATTGAAATTATGACCACCCGCGTGGATGTTTTTCTTTTCGACAGGGTGATGTGTCATGGTAAAAATGTTGAATTGAATGAAAATGTGAACATATTTTTCTTAGTTTGAACATAAATTTGTCACTGATTTTTCCAGTTTGAAGGAAATTGTATATTATTAGGTTACAAGATCAATCTCAACATTCGAAACCGACATCGGCGGCAATTTGAATATAAATCCCATTTTCCATACTGATCAAAACGAACATTTTCTGAACTGAAAAATGAAGAAAATAGAACATTTGAAATAAAAACCCTTTGTGCTGTTTTATTGCATTATACCGTTGAGATATGGGATCGTTCGACGCGTTGATGGAATTTTAATGTTTATCTACATCCCCCTCCCACCTCGAAAGCAAAATAGAAAAAAAAATGAAAAAGAGAAGAAAACGAGATATTAAGAAGATGTAGTTGGAAAAATAAACATAATAGAAATTTAAGGTCTTTCCATTAATCGCTCAATAACTGCATTTCGGCTACTGATTGGGAGCCGACAACACGATTCAATCGCTCAACAGTCTCAAACAACAACCAGACTACATTTAAATGCCGAAAGTTTTAGTCTGAAACGAAATCTTTAACGCGATCATTTGAATGATGATCTAGAAATTTCTAGACTGGTACTAACACCACAGTTGGCACGATTGATCGCAAAATGGGAATGGTTGGTTTAGAATTTGACTGAATTTCTACTCAGGTTAGAAAAAAGCTATTTCTTTTTCGATTTTGTACAAAACCGATTGGAAATTCGTTGAAAAAATGCATTGGTTAACTCTCTAGTGCATACAACTTCCTTTGGGCGGTCAACATTTGAA